AATCAATATACCTCTATTAGTTAAATTAAGGATTTGGCATTTTTGTCTACCTATCAAGTCCTTACCAAGACCTGGGATAGGCAGATGTGGATGTTTGATGATATTACAGATATCGTCTCAGGATGGAAGCAGTTCCTAGTAAGGCCGCCTTTTGCAACTGACTAATGGCGAATTTGTCAATGCCGATGATGGTGTTCAAGTGGTGCTCCAGTTGTTTTGGAATTGCACCCAAGGCGCCTATTATTATTGGTACTATCCTTGCTTGCCTTTGCCATAGTCTTTCTATTTGTATTTGTCGGTCTTTGTATTTTGTTATCTTCTCCAGTTCTTTCTCGTCTATTCTGTTGTCTCGAGGCACCACATCCACTATCCAGACTTTTTTGTCTTTCTTATCGACAATTGTTAAGTCCGGGGTGTTATGTTGCAGGTGCTTGACTGTTTGAATTCTGAAATCCCAGAGCAGTTTATCATTTTCTATGACTTTTTCTATTTTATGATCCCACCAGTTCTTGCTTTACAGGCAAATGATCTTTCTTGCAGATCTTCCAATGCACCATTGTTGCTACTTTGTCATGCCGCTGCTTGTAGTCAGTCTGTGATATCTTCTTGCAGCAGCTTACCAGGTGGCCCACTGTTTCTTCAGCTTCTTTACATAGGCGGCACTTACTGTCTGTTGCTGTCTTCTCAATTTTGATTATGTATGCATTTGTCCTTAAGGCTTGGTCTTGTGCAGCCAGAATTAGTCCCTCAGTCTCTTTCTTCAATTTTCCTGCTCTTAGCCATTGCCAGGTCTTGTTACTATCTGCTTTCCCAGCTATTTTTTTAATGTACTGGCCATGTAGTGCTTTGTCTTCCCATGCCTCTATTCTGCCCCAACTTTATAAATTGAATAAATTCCCAATTCTGCTCTGAGGGCAGCAGCTGAAGTCCTTTTATCCACCCTCAAGATACTTCTCAGATGATCTGATCGGATTTGTTCTAGTAGTGATATAAATTAAATCCCAATATTCAGCTCAATATAAGTGCATAATGGTAATGTTGGTATTTTGTATTTAATAATTCAGTCTAAGGAAGCCACATACCTATAATTTCTTTTTAAAAATTAACAGTGCAATCACTTGTGCCTTCTAAATGAGCTCCTTTGATGTTGAGGGAGCCCAGATCCAGTCACAGAGAAAAGTTCTCCCAGGTAAGGAAAGGTGTGAACTTGCTCTGTTGCCTCCTCATCGATTAGCCCTATATGGCAATGCTGTCATTGTGAAAGACCATAACTTTTGACTTTGACTCATCCATAATCAGATAATTATTATGAGAATAGGTGCCAAGTCCTCTTAACAGCACATGCAACCCAAATGTCATATTGGAAACACCTTTGTCTTACCTTTGCGTACATATCAATCCTACTTCTCATGGCTCCATTGAGCCCCAAACACACTCTCAAACAAATGAATAAAAATGGGATGGAAGGGACCATGGAGTTTTTCTAGTCCAACCCCCTGCCCATAGCAAGAGATCCTATACCAATCCAGACAAAATGAATGTCCAGCCTCTTTTTGAAGATCTCCATTAACGGAGCACCCACAACTTCATGAGGTAAGCCGTTCCACTGATTAATTGTTCTCACTGTCAGTGCTTGTAGAAAGGGCTTTGAGCAGGGTCAACATCCTGAGCTCCATTTGAAGGGCAGTCAATCTCTTCCATATCATTTCTTTGCTGACTGTGCCAAATGCTATAAAGGCAGCAAACCATTATTTCCTGTGACTGATATTTTTATAGTTAGATGGTTCAAGACAAAAGAATTGTCAAGAGTGGATCACATCTACCTAAAGACTGCTGGTTCTTCTACAAGGAATCCACTTTTCATCCACCTACTATCAATTCTTTTCAAGTGGACATTTGCATATATTTTAGTCACAATATCTGTTAGAGAAATGGGCCTGGAATTTCTGGGGTCCTTTTTAGTCCCTTTTTTATATATCTTCTTCTTCTTGTGCCATATCCGTTATCGGATGTTGGCGATCATGTTGGCGATCCTGTTTTTATCAGCAGCCGCACGAAAAAGTGCTGCTTAGTTTTGTCCAAACTAGTCCCTTAGATTTTGAAGCCACGATGTTCTTCTTCTGCCTGGACCTTGTTTGCCTTCAATCTTTCCCTGGAGGATTAAATGGAGTATGCCGTATTTTTCTCAGTGTCGCATAACATGTCCGAAATATTCTAACTTTCGTTTTTTAATTGTTTTGATGATTTCCCTTGGCTTTCCCAGGCGGCTTATCACCTCCTCATTTCTGATCTTGTCAACCCAACTTATACATAACAGCCGCCTGTAAATCCACATTTCAAATGCTTCTAGTCTCTTCAGGTGGCCTTCTGTCAGATACCAACTCTCTACTCCATAGAGCAGGATAGAAAAAATATAACATCTGACAAGCCTGATTTTCACTCTTAGGCTTATGTTGTGACTGCAGAAGATCTTTTTCATTTTGAAGAATGCTGTTCGAGCTTTCTCTATCCTTGTCTTTACTTCAATGGTCATGTCCCAGCTTTCATGTAAATTAGAACCGAGGTGCGTGATCCTTTCAACTTTTTCTAAATTCCTTCCAAATTTATTGGTGGTAAATTAACGGGTTGTCTGCTGACGACCATGATCTTGGTTTTCGAGGTGTTAAGCTTCAAACCATATTTTTCAGATATTTCTGTGACTCTGTTGATGAGGAGCTGAAGGTCTTCATGCTTACTGGCAAGCAGAACTGTATTGTCAGCATATCTTAAGTTGTTGATCCAAACACCATTTACTTTGATGCCAGCATCAATGTTCTCCAGTGCCTCGTTGAAGATTGACTCAGAGTAGATATTGAACAACAGTGGAGACAGAATACATCCCTGTCTGACCCCTCTTCTTATTTCTGCATCAGCTGAGTAATTTTGGCCTAGTCTCACATTTGCTACCTGATGCCAATATAGATTCTTTAGGATTTGGATGTCTTTGTCATCTAGTCCCACTTGTTTCAGAATTTCTAATTGTTTGTTGTGTCTTATTTTATGAAATGCTTTTTCAGAATCAATGAAGCACATGTAAACACTGTGATTGACATCTCTACAATGCTGTACAAAAACTTGAATGCTGAATAGTGCATCTTGTGTACCAAAATTGTTTCTGAAACCAAATTGTGTGTTACCTAGATGCTCCTCAATTTTGTAGTATATTCTTGTGTGAATTATTCTCAGGAATATTTTCATTAAGCTTATTGTTCTGTATTCAGTACACTTCTTTGCATTTATTTTTTGGGGGATTGTCACAAAAGTTGATTTTAGCCAATCATTTGGTATCTTTCCTGTTTCATATATTCGATTGAAGAGCTGCAGTAAAAAATGGACAAAACTCAGCAGCACTTTTTTGTGTGGCTGCTGATAAAAACAGGATTGCTAAAATGATTGCCAATGTCCGATAACAGATATGGCACAAGAAGAAGAAGAAGAAGAAGAAGAAGTAAAAAATTCTTCCAGTTGTCTTCCAGCAATTTTAAAAATTTTACTGGGATATCATCAGGTCCTGTGGCTTTTCTTGTTTTTGCTATTTTTATTGCATGTTCAACCTCCTGCATAGTGATGTTTGGTCCAGTTGTTATACTTCCCATATCTATATCATCCCTAGTGTCCTCAAAAAGTTCTTCAATATATTCCATCCATCTTTTTAATTTTTCATCCTCATCTATGATAATTTCCCCCTCTTTGTCAACTAAGTTGTTGGTTTTCTTTTTGTAGAGGCCTGCTGCTTCTTTCACTTTTTGTGTAAATTGAAATTATCATGCATACGTTCTGTCTCTTCTATTTCCTTGCATCTTTTTGGAAGCCACTTTTCTTTTGCCAGTCGAATTTTTCTTCTAATTGTTTTCTGCAATTCATTGTATTTTTCTTTGTTTTTATTTTTATAAGGTCTTCTTTCATCCATGAGATGAAGAATTTCCTCCGTCATCCACTGTTGTTTCTTGTGGTACCCCTCTCTCTGTTTTGAATTTGTTACCTCTACTATTGCATTTTTAAATTTATTCCAGTTCGCTTCTAAATCATCATCATTCAGGTTGTTGGTTTCTCTTAAATGAATTTCTAGTTCTTCTTTTATCTTACCTCCATGTTTAATGATGAAGTCTCTGTCAATCCTTTTTTTAGCAGGATTCGGGTTTTTCATCCTTTTTAGTTTCAGTTGGCCTTCGGCAAGTAGTAGATTATGATCGGATGGTACATATAGGAATTACAATTGCCATCTTTGACCCAAATGGGCATGGCAGATATTATTTATATGTGTAAATGTATCTGTCAATGGAGGGTCCCACCAGTTGGGATATTTCTTGAATTGTTCAGCTGCTAGAAAATCCTCTTTAGAGGCCATATTGCTCTTCAAACCATTTATGATGAATTTGATCATGAGAATTTTAGGGCAAAAAATAATTGATATGTTGCCTAACTTATTTCTAGATTTTTAATAAAATATTTGGTTAATGTTAGTTAATGTTAGTGGCCCCTAAAGGTTCATAATACATATATGTTTTATCATCAGTAGGAAAGGTAATCCTGTAGGACTTACCCGTAGGACTTTTCCATCTGTACTGCACATTCCTATTAGACAGAAGATCCTTTGATTGGACACAGAGCCTCTCCTCACCTTCACAAGTGTGCAGCAGAAGCCTCTAAGCCAGTGATGGTGAACAATTTAGAGACCGAGTGTCCCAAAACTGCCCCAACCCCCGTACCGCCCCAGCCACACCCCTACCCACCTGCAGGGTCACCCACCTCCATGGCCCACCGCAGATAGCCCAGGTGGCCCAGGATCACCATGGTGGCCATGACCTCCACCCGTGCGCCACAGCTTCATCTGTTTGCGATGGGGTACAAGGGCGGAGTCTTGTCCCCACTTCCCAGCTGCCATGTACTTGGCTGCACTGCTCCAGGCAGGCCGTGCCTGGGGGCGACTCTCCTCCCGGGGGGCTGCTGGTATGGAGGGGGCTGTGGAGGGAGTCGGGGCTGGGGTGGCGGCACGTATGCCCACAGAGAGAGCTCCAAGTGCCACCTCTGGCACTTGTGCCATAGGTTCGCCACCACTGCTCTAAACAATTGGGATCATATCATGAAAAGACAGGTCTCTTTTGATCCTTGCTTCCTCCCGACTTTATATCCCAATCCTTATTTACAACACTTACAAATGCCATGATGAAAAGATTATTTGCAGCAGAACCAGTTCTTAAACACCCTGATCCTGAGGAAACTTTCATCATCCAAGCTGATGGTAGTGATGTTGCGGTGTGCACAGTCCTCCTACAAAAAAACCTTAGGGGGGATCTGCAGACCTGCGCCTACACTTCATGAAAACTTATGGAAACAGAGAGGAGATGGGCTGTTTGGGAAAAAGAGCCTTTTGCGGTGAGATGGGTGTTATTAACTTGGCACCATTTCTTGGAAGGGAGTAAAATGCCTTTCGAAGTATAGACTGATCATTATTATTATTCAAAATTATCTTGAATTACCTAGAGAAGACACGGTTGGATCTATTGCTTGCACACCAATACCCCACTTACTTTACAGAAAGGGAACGAAAAACACAAACCTGTGGGACTTTGTAGGTGCCTCCTAATGTTGACATCTGGATGGAGATGTCTCTGATAGCTCCATCAACAAGAGCCAAAAGCTTGTCCTTCCTTCCACAGTTATAGTTGGGAACATTGGCTTCTCCAGTAGAGAGCATGTCCATCAAGGCATCTGAAGTGCCGAGGGTGTTATCATAGTTGTCATGGATGTTGTAGCCAAGTGTGAGATTTTGCAGGAGCTGGGGATTCTCCTTCACCAGTTCAATATTGCAAATCATGCGTAGTATGAAAAACTTTCCAGTGGATAAACTAGCGTAAAATCATGATCATCTTAATATTAGCATCATCAACAGAAACAACAACAAAAATACTTTTTCTCAATTTAATCATCTTTTTTCTCTACAAACTAGCTGAAACATAAGCCAATATTGATCCAAAACTACGGGCAAATTATAGTCACCCATCACCCTTTAATATTCTTAGTGTTGAGGATGGGGATAGTCCTCAAAAAGGTTTAACAAATCAGAAACATACATTATTTTTAGCAGTACTAATATTATAGCCCAGAATAATTCAGTCATTAAAGAAGAACCACCATTAAGGGAAGTAGATTTTTGATAAGTGACCCAGAGAAGCTGTTCTAAAAACAAGTCATTTTCTATTCCTTTAAAAATCAGACACTGCATATTGATGACCTCGAAGGTCCCTTCCAACTTTATTATTATTGTTATTGTTATTGTTATTATTTGGTTATAAAAATATGGAAATGATTGGGCAGAGGAAATTAGAACTATTTTAATGATTACTTTCACCCAAAGTCAGTATTCCAATCATTAATTTAGAATTGAACAGAAAGAGAAAAATAATGTGGACTTATTTCAGGTTTCATTTGTCTCATGTTTCTACTCTCAGAAAATAAGGCAAAAGAGAGAGGCTGTATTAATCAAAAGGATTCAAAGAATTTGTCAGAACCTGCAATATAAGTGTAAGTAAAACAAGAAGAAAAAAAGTAGAGTGTTAGAACTGCAAATGGAGGGAGTGAAACTCCATCGCATGACTTACAGCTGAATCTCACTAGAAGGAGCCATGTTGAAAGATAATGTTGCAGGTGTTATTCTGGATGGAGAGATAACTATACCAATGAGAAGATCTCCTGGTCTATAATAGCTCCATGGCTTTTCTCCACCCTGGTGGTCCAAATTCAGTGAGCATTTCATTCTCAGCTTCCCAGAGAGTGGCTGGGACACCAGCAGCATCAGAAGCAGAAGCAGAAGCAGAAGCAGGAGGTCCATAATTCATGGGGCAGAATCAATCTCCTTCCTCTTTCTAAAAAAGAATTAGAATTCAAAGCACTCTGACAGGGTGGAATATCCAGTGGCTTTCCTGATTCAAACAGAGAAACCAAGATTCACCTGAAAGAGAGAGAAAATACATTCAAGAGCACAGCTCCTGTCTGTCCTGTAATGTGAGCCACAAAAAGCATAACCTGTGATATTTATCCTTTTCTGATGCAAGATCCCTTCCATGTTGCTTCAGTCTGATGTTTACATCAAAGGCAGTCACTGGAGACATAGGAGAAGAAGTCTCAGAGACAGGGAGGGTGATGATTGCTGTGAGAAGGAGCTTCTGCTCTTGGGACCCTGAACTTCTTCCATGTAAGGAGGGGTAGCTGGAGAAAAGCACCTTAGAGAAAAGTCACAGATAGACCCCTTGGGGCAGTGTTCTGTAGTGGTCTTAGTCCTTCCTGTTAGGACATGTCCAGAAAGTCATGCTGGATGGAGATAGTTCAACAGCCAGGAAAGTGACTTCTGCTGTCCTTCAATGGGGTCTCTTGCCTCCAGAGGCTGCTAGGGAAGGTCACCCAGAGTTATGGAGTTTGGTGCTACTCTAGGATGGTGACACTTAACTCTAGTGCTGGCTGTGCTTTATCTCCATGGAAGCATTCAGCATCCTTCAACCCAGCCTTATATTAACAGTTTGGGATTTTCTTTTCAATGAGAACTCCATGTATCAATCCTAATTTGGAGCTGATTTTATAATTCCTTGTAACTGAAGTGAAATTTCATTTACCATCTATTCTAGAAACATCATTTTTTGCATGAGAGCTGGCTAAGAGGCAGGAAAGTGACAGCCTGGGATAGCACCATTGGCACAGAGAGAGAAAATTGTAGAGTGGGTAGAAGTTTTAGTTTCCTTGACACTTTCTGTGTTTTCTTTCCATACTGATACAATGGGAGCCATTAAATGTTGACGTTTCTTGATTTAAATAAAAGAATTGTGCTGTTAGGCCTGCAGTTGAGATGGTGGCAGCGCCTACAGTGCGGTGGATTGTGTAACCTCATTTCTTGCCATAAGAACCCAGAAGTTGGTTTAGGGGACCTGGTGGCAGTTCTTCTGGTTGTATAGATGCACTTGGTGTTTTGCAACTCTTATGACATTCCCATCTCTGAGGATTTGTTTGTCCTCCCCAGAAGACTTCCAAGTGCTTATAGTTCAGAGTCCCTGTGTTCTGGTTTATCTTGGTCAATTGTTGATTAGTTTTCTTTTCTTTTTTTTTTTTTTGAAAATTTTATAAAAGTTTTACAATATAATT